CAGATAGAGATGGTGTTATCTCATTTGATGAACTTAAGAGGGTGAGTGTTTCCTAATAACTTAAAGGAACTACATCACAGTTTGCACATCTTGGAAAGTTTAGCCTAAATTAATTTTTTGAAGTTTGTCATTTGTAATCCATGTCAATCTTCTCCATCCTTAACCATCCTTGTTCCTTTATGGTTTATCCTTCTCTCTTTGGTGTTTTTCTTTCTTAGTAAACTATTATTTTCATGTTTCCTTTATTCAAAAGTAATTTTATATGTGGTCAAAGTAACTCAAAGAACTGCAACTGAGAAATATTTTTCTAACTCTTGATGGCCCAGAAGGATCTTCACTTCAACTCCAGCGAATATTTGTAGCCTGTAACAATAAAGGGGATGCATTTTGATGTTGCATCAAATTTGTTGAACATCATGTATGTTGTTAACTTTACAGAAATGGCAGGGGTTTATTATTCTGTTGATTTTAATTGAACTGCAAGTATTCCTATACATATTGGTTTATTAGTCCCTTTATCTTTTTTAACTGGTTGAGAAATTTGTTTCCCTGAAAAATGCTGTTGTGCAGTGATGAAAATGTTGGAATAAATGAAAATAAACTTAGTGTTTGTTGTTATCTATTATATAACTACCCTCATCTGTGCAATTACACGTAAAGAGACACTATAAGCTTCATTATTATTTTTAATGTTTGAACTTAAGGTGGATTGCAGGTTGTTGACAAGTACTAACTTTATCATTGTTGATGATCAATGTTCTTTCTCCATCTAGGTNCAGATAGAGATGGTGTTATCTCATTTGATGAACTTAAGAGGGTGAGTGTTTCCTAATAACTTAAAGGAACTACATCACAGTTTGCACATCTTGGAAAGTTTAGCCTAAATTAATTTTTTGAAGTTTGTCATTTGTAATCCATGTCAATCTTCTCCATCCTTAACCATCCTTGTTCCTTTATGGTTTATCCTTCTCTCTTTGGTGTTTTTCTTTCTTAGTAAACTATTATTTTCATGTTTCCTTTATTCAAAAGTAATTTTATATGTGGTCAAAGTAACTCAAAGAACTGCAACTGAGAAATATTTTTCTAACTCTTGATGGCCCAGAAGGATCTTCACTTCAACTCCAGCGAATATTTGTAGCCTGTAACAATAAAGGGGATGCATTTTGATGTTGCATCAAATTTGTTGAACATCATGTATGTTGTTAACTTTACAGAAACGGCAGGGGTTTATTTATTCTGTTGATTTTAATTGAACTGCAAGTATTCCTATACATATCGGTTTATTAGTCCCTTTATCTTTTTTAACTGATTGAGAAATTTGTTTCCCTGAAAAATGCTGTTGTGCAGTGATGAAAATGTTGGAATAAATTAAAATAAACTTAGTGTTTGTTGTTATCTATTATATAACTACCCTCATCTGTGCAATCACACTTAAAGAGACACTATAAGCTTCATTATTATTTTTAATGTTTGAACTTAAGGTGGATTGCAGGTTGTTGACAAGTACTAACTTTATCATTGTTGATGATCAATGTTCTTTCTCCATCTAGGTCCTCGAAAATGTGGACATGAACTCAAAAATGAGCATCCGATTTCTGGCTTGACTTCCTGAGAAAAAGCGGGTTTTAGAAGCAGAATATTGAAGAAATTTATGTGATACTTCTCTTTACTTATTTATCTTTCCAGTTCATTCAGATCATGAACTCACAAGAAAACCCTACATTCATTTGGACATGAAAATCAAATTAGTTGGCACCAGTTATTTAAAAATCTCCAGGAAGTACTAAATGGTATTTTAAATTTAACTAGCTCTGACTCATATTTAAGCTGTAGCATGATCAGTTAGTATCAAGTTATTGGTTAATGGCTAATTAGTGAAGTGAAATCTACACCCATTGTACAGAGTTAATGATTCTTTTCATTGAAATCTAATTTTGTGCAATGGCAGATATTCTTTGTCAGAAAGTAATTTTGTTAGTTGTTAAAAATATTGATTGCTGTACAGTAATAGTAGCCAAATGAATGTGATGAAACAATAAAATTAGATTTGTAATTTGTTTTGGTTTTTCTCTTCTTTTCTTTACAATGGATGCCCTTCAGAGCTGCTGCCCAAGGAATTTTTCAAG